GGGAGCTCCACATTAATCAGACGCATAAAACACAAAAGAAGAGAAGATCTGTCGGCAGCTATTTTGCATGCATTTGTTGCTATGCAATGGCAATGACACATCTTGATCTGTTCATTTTTCTTTCCTCCATTGTTGTAGCGGCTCTCTGGTGTCTCCGGTGTTGTCACATTCTATCTCATCAACTCTACACCGCTCCTTGTGGTGATATGCATACTGCATCTCGCGGACGCATTCATTTCTGAGGACGTGCACAATCAACGCTCCAAACCACCACAGATACACAGGGCTGATGTCATTCCTACGCATAGTTAAAGCGAGTATACTCAGGGCTTTAGCCCTTGAGAGCGGGCGACCCGGGTTAAAAACCGACCTGTGGCTCCTTCCTGCAAGTCATTCCCCTCTCTCTCTCGCTTCTCTCTCTCCCCCTCTCTCTCTCTCTCTCTCTCTCTCTCTCTCTCTCCCCCCTCCTCTCTCCCTCCTCTCCCTCTCTCCCCCCCTCTCTCTCCCTCTCTCCCCCTCTCCCCCCCCTCTCTCTCCCTCTCTCTCTCTCTATCTTCTGTGCTGTCTCTACAATAAAAATAAAAAGTTGTAATTGTGCTGTTCGATGCAAAATGGAAGAATCTAGAATGGCCTTGAGCACATCTGGCCCTCTGACTCATACATCGTGTTCTCAGTGCATGAAGACCGTTCTTAGTTACAAAGTCAAAGTTAAAGTCAGTGCAGCTGTCGAGTTTTCAGGGTTGAGATTTCACACCATCTTTGGTTCACGCAGCAAAAGAAGCAGAGATGTCATCGTCGCTCACGGTGCAGAATTCTTCTTTGTGTGAAACAAGTTGTTTTGTGTTTGTGCTAATAATATAGATAGATTGTTTGTGTTCATGTTTCAATTCTTGTATTTGTGCATCTTTATTCTGGACATGCAGCCAGTTCCTCGAGGCTGATTTTCCTCCGCTCAACAAAACGGAATAAAAAGTGGACTAATTCGTCATCTCTTTTCCTTCATTTGAAACTTTCAATGTCAACCTTCACATTGTTGAAAGTCCCTGACGCGCTCAAAGGAATGAAAATTTAAACATCTACGTCTCGCTGACAACTTGACAGCTCCATCTGCTGCAGAGGATTGTGGACATATTTCAAATCTCAAACACAGCTGCTGATTGTTTCAGCGATACATCAAAGAGCACATTAACACAGCAGGTAGATTCTAGAGATCACAGAGACAGAACCAAGCCAACTGGAAGTCAAATCAAATGACTGCTCACGTCAGGCTCGCCACAGTCACACTCCTCTCCCCTCCACGAAGCCGTTGCCGCACTTCTTGCCCCCACCAGGTCCTTCATGTTGGGCATGTTGTACAGACACATCCCCCTCCCTTCTGGAAGTAACTGTCCAGGTCACGCTTGCTGCAGCGGCTGAAGACGCGAGGGAACGGATGCCTGGAGGGGACATTTTTAGATTTCAGTTTGAGGAACAAAATGTGCAAAAAAAGAAAAAAGTAGGAGAAGTAAAAGAAGAATGGATGAAATAAAAATAAGAAAAGGAGGACAGGAAGGGGGAAGGAAAAGAAGAAGAGGAGGCAAAAGGAGAGGAAAGAGGAAGAGGAGAAGATGAATGACTGAAATGAAAGAATGAAAGGAGAATAAATAGGAAAGGTTGAGGACAAGGAAGAAGAGGAGGAAAGGCACAAGAAAAAGAGGCAGTGGGAAGAGAAAGATTGTGGAGGAAGAGAAGTTGAAGGAAGGGAGGAGGAGGAACAAGTAAGGAGGGGAAGAATAAGTGGAGAAGGAGGTAAAAGACAAGGAAGAGAGGAAGAGAATGAGGAAGAGGAAGAGGAGAACAGATGACAGAAATGATTATTTTCTTTCTTTACAGAGACAGAACTACAGCATCTGTCTTTAAAGATTTTGGTTAATTTATTTTAAGTTTGGGAACTATGAATTTAATGATCAGAACTAAATGGTGATAAACATTCTGTTTTTAAATCTGACAAAGTGAAGAGCTCTTCCAGCAGCTGCATTAAACTGTTTCTAACGATGAAAGACTGTTTCTCTTGCTCGAGGCTCACCCTGTGGCGGCGGCCATCACGCAGCCTCCCTGCTCAGCGGTGGCCTCCACGCAGCAGCCATCGTGGTCGTGGCTCATCCCGAAGTTGTGTCCGATCTCGTGGGCCATCGTAGCGGCGGCTCCGATGGAGAGCTCCGAGTGATCCTGAAGGAGAAGACGAGGGAGTTATATAATTCTTATCAGATTATCAAACCAGGCAAGTGGGAAGAAAGGCGAGGGGATTCAACATATTCATATCTTGGCAGTATTTTACTGCAGTCTAAATCCTAAACATCATAGAGAGCTGTTTCCTCCGCCCCCTCCTCTCTAGAGTCGATGCTCTCACAGGTCACCATGTGGTGGATACTGAAGCTTCAGTGTTTATCCAGCTCTGCATGGGTCTGTAAACCTTTCTGTGTTCTAACCTCTCTCCATTTTTCAAAAGCATCTCCAATATTGATCCTAGTTTGAGCACGTTTCTGCTCGTGGAGCTTATTAGAAACATGCAGAGGCTTTTTAGGTCGGGTACAATCACTTCTATCTGAACCACTTCTCTTGCCCGCTTCCATCACTGCAACACCTGTTGACCTGATAACTGCTCTCATATCTGACAAACAGAGGGCGTCCAAAACGGCCGTGTGGGGGTGTCTTAAAACCCCTACCTTCTCTGGTCCAAACAAATCCAGAGCATTCAGGAGCAGAATCTAAAGTTAGAAGAGGACATACTGACTGCTGCATTGTTGTCAGAGAAGCCAGCACTTCAACATAACATGTTTCTTTAATGTCTGATCATATAGTAAGATCACTTTATCTGACTTAAACTGATTTTGAGTCATTTAGACCCAATAATATATAAAGATATGATTTTGTTCTAGGTTTTAAACCACAGATGTCCTCTTGAAGTCTACTTTAATGTTCTTTATTAAGCACCATTAGCACACAGTATTATTAAACAAATCTGCGATCACCATGAGGAGCACAGAATGAACTCGAGGCCTTCAGGGAGGCTGCAGTGAATCAGTCTGCTCTTTGTTTGTCTCTCTAATATTAAATTTTCTCTCTTAGTTCCCTCTCCTCGCCCTCTGGATTATCATGAAGTCAAAAGCAAACCTTTAATGAAAGGAGACGTGTTGACTCGGGCTGATTAAGCATTCAGATGGGTTTGCTGAGGTCAAACAAATTATGAATGTCTGATTGTCCGCCTCTGAAAAGACGCTCCGAACAGAGGGCTGACGTGAGACACGAGGCAAAAGAAACAAACTGAATAGTTTTCATTTACAGCCGATAATAAATCAATAACCTTGATTTGATGAGAAAAAGAAAAGGTGTGCTAATAACGTTTTTTAAAGGGTGGAAGCTGAACTCCTGCAGAATTCAGAGGCAGATTCTGTGTCCTCGTTCCAAAGGTAAAACTCACAGGAGGATATCTGCACACACACACACACACACGGAGCGAGCGGGGACAATATTCAGACGTATTTAGCTCCTCTTTGATCCTCTGAAAGCTGTCATTCACTCTTAGCTGCGCTCTGAATTATGCATACTGTATAAAACGAGGATGTGTTCGCTGTCAGGAAGACATTGATACTCTGCTGAGAAATCCTTCTTATGCTATTTGGCGCTCCGAGGTTCAAACCACAGAGGTATCAGGCCTGTGTGTGTGAGGACAGTGTGGAGGTGAGTGTGTGTGTGTGTGTGTGTGTGTGTGTGTGTGTGTGTGTGAGCTCGGTAAACCACAGATACATTTATATTCCACAGACGCCTCAGCCCACAGGAGAGCTAACAGGCTATTAGAAGCTAATCAAGCTTGGAGAAACTATCGATCCTTTCAGTCAGCTGCTGCACTCGAATATGAAGCCGTACTTACACCAGCTGAATGATGCCACGCGCTGGACATATTTATTTAACCCTTAAAAATCTGCACTGGAGCATAAAAATGGTGTGGGTTCAAATTGTTCTGCCCTTACAGGTTTTGCCCAACTTGGAGTTTGTTTTGGATCTTTTTAAACATGCTCTCTGCAAAATGTGAAGAGGCCTGAACAACATAGAACTCTTCACTGGCAGGTAGTCCTACATGCACTATCAAACCCCCTGCAGATGATCCAGAACGCAGCAGCACGACTCATCTTTCACCTCCCCAAAACAGCACATGTCACTCTGCTGTTCATCTCCCTCCACTGGCTCCCAGTTACTGCTCCCATCAAATTTAACACTCTGCTGCTCGCTTACAAACACGGCTACTCCTTACCTAAACTCTCTCACCTGTGCTCTGCCTCTGGTCACTTCCTGTCAGCACCTCTGGTCACTTCCTGTCAGCACCCGTGCTCTGCCTCCGGTCAGAGTTTTTAGATTTCTCTGTTTTCACTGTTCGTCTTCAGTCAGCCTCTCTTTAACTTTTGTCAGCTCTTTAAATTAAACACAAACTCAACCTGAACACAGTTTGTGTGTCTCAAAACATTCTGCTGAGATTTCAGTGGATTTTTTATCCGACACAGAGAGTTAGCATCACTTACTCTCCTCCTCCCTGCAGAGCTGCGTCTAATTCAGTCCCATCTGAAGCTTCAAAGTGTTTACTCTAATTTTCACTTTCATTTTTTTGTTGTTTGACAGGACGGCTGAATCACACGCTAAAGAGGCAGAAACAATTGTGGAGAAAAAAGGAAATGGAGCGGCAGCTGGAGGACGAGTAATGTACCCGGCTGAGGACTTTTCTCTGGGACTCTATCTGAGATCCTGCACGAGCAACCGTCCCGCTGTTACAGTCTAAGTGAGTGACACCTCCGTCACACAAGATGAGGATTTCTCACTGATATTTATGGTCTCGATCTCGGTCTTGGAGCACTCTGGTCTCGAGTATGTTTTGGTCTTGTTAGTGTGGTCTGGACTACAACACTAACGATGTTAATGATTAAGCCTTACTGTATCAACCAACAATCTGTTCTGTTTTATTTTATAATCATTTTAGGGGCTGTTACATGTCATTCCCCCCCCCACCCGGCTTTATTCAGATTTAATCTTTGTTTTTGTTCCCTCTGACTCCTGAGGAAAATAAATAGATATTTATCTGCTGAAGGTTTCTCTCTGTGTCACTCGATATTCACCTGATCCGTTATTAATCTTAGATCATAAACAAATTCAGTTTTAGTCCGTCACCAGTGTAAAAGTTTAAGTAAACAATCATGAGACGTCTGTTTTTTTTTTACTTTGACTCAAAAGAAGAAGCTAGAGCTGAAGCAAAATAAAGATGTTTTTACTCAAATCTAAAGTTTCAGGGATGTTCATGTTCATGCAAAAAATAAAAAACAGTCAAGAGAAGATGGATTCAAGCTGGAAGAAATAAAGAAAGTGGAAATGATGCAGAGGAAGAGAGGAGAATGTGAATCCACGCACCACGTTGATGCCTCCAGAGTTCTCCAGGCTGCACATCCCCTCCAGCGGTGCCATCCCGATCGTGGTTCCCTTAAAGATCACACCGCTGCACAAGACAAACACACACACACACACACACACACACACACACACACACACACACACACACACACACACACACACACACACACACACACACACACACACACACACACACACACACACACACACACACACACACACACACACACACACACACACACACACACACACACACACGAGAAAGAAATGTGTAACCTTAATCTCCTCCCTGCTCACTTACAGGCTGCACGCTGGCTGCACAGTGATTGCAGACGCAGCAGCAGGTACACAGAGGCAGACATGACGAGCCTGTCAGATGAGGGTGAGGGAGTGAAAAGGACCCATAATTCAACTGTCCTCACTTAACATCCAAAATAACATCAGGGCACAACACAGGGAACACGCGTCATAGAGCGAGAGAGGAATGATTCCGGAGACTGCAGCGAATCTTTAAGACAAATCTCGGTTTATTTCTTGAGTTTGTTCAAATATTTTACCTCAGCGTGGGAGTGATTCTGTCATTAGAGCGGCACGGACGCTGCTCAGGGGACGGGGGGACGGGGGGGGGGTTGTGTGTATATGTGTGTGTGTGTGTATAGAAGGAGGAGCTTAACAGTGTTTCAGTATCTCATGTTGATTATGATTCTGAGTTTTAACATCAGAGTAGCCGAGAGTCTCATCAGATCATTTCTCTGATTAGTTCCTCCTGACATGGATATCGGTCAACATCACTCGTAGAATAACTATCGTTTTGATCCTCTAGCACCTAGCCGTTGAGTTACCCGTTACCCCTTGCTCTGCGCCCTTCCCAGTGGTGAGTGTAGCGTACACCTCATCTTATCTGGCCCTTCAAACAGGTGAGGACTGCTTCATGCTCGTGCAACAATGTACAGAATCTCCAAATGCAGAGCCAGGGTTCATGAGTGGCTGAACACTAAGCCTAACATGAAGTTAAATTAGAATGAAATAGACTTGAACAGCACGATTAAGTTTCAGTCCTGAGCAGTTAAACGTCTGTGCAGACAGCTGCAGAAACAGCTGCACGCTCCTGACAGTGAATCTGTTCACACACGGCGCTGCTCTCCGCTTACACTGCAAGGCGTTCAAAAGCTACATGTAGAATGAACTTCATGCTGAAGATTTACTTTAAAGGAGTCATGGACATTTTGATTTGATAAGAAACTCAGAAAAGACGCACCGCAAAATTTAGGATGACAATCTCCTTGGTGTGTCAGGGCCTTAATTTGTAAAAAGAAAGCGTTGTGTCAGCCTGATGTGACAGCAATCTTTGCAATGACACAGATTAGAGCAACAATCTGTAACTTCAAACAGTTGTTTCAAAGTCGATTGAAAAGAACAATAACCTCCAACAGGGAGGCGTCTCTCTCATGTCCACAGAGTGTCCAGCTTGCCTGTTTTCAGCACTATGTAACTTTGGCAGCGGGCCGAGGTCGTCTCGTTAGAAGTGTGTACGTCTTTACGGCGCTAGTTCACACAGCAGCCTTCAGCTACAGAGCAGCCAGTTAACCCGTCTCTGTACTGTTTGATACAACGGCTGAGGCTGAGAGGAACAGGACTGTATCATCTGTATCTGTTTACAGTCAGCGTGTGTGTGTGTGTGTGTGTGTGTGTGTGTGTGTGTGTGTGTGTGTCCATGTCTCACGTCAGCAGCTGGGCGTTGTCGTGCTTCTTTCTCGACTTCAGTTTTTGTCTCCACTGCAGGAAGGACCAGAGTGTGGCGTTCGGCTCCTCGGTGACGATGCACTGATCCTGTCGGTCCAGACCTCCAGACCGATCAGAGGCACGCGGATGTTCAGAGCCCTGTAGAACTGAACACACACACACACACACACACACACACACACACACACACACACACACACACACACACACACACACACACACACACACACACACACACACACACACACACACACACACACACACACACACACACACACACACACACACACACACACACACACACACACACAAATATTTACCTACACACATACACATGCAGGAGTGTAAGCCCCTACAACACAATCTACTCACACACTGCTATTTGTTCCTCATCAGGCTGCACAGAGAAGATATCGATTCAATCCTGGAGATATTTGTGTTCCTAAGATTTTATTTACAACATCAAAGACTTTCAACTGAAAAAGAGATAGATGAAAACATGCAATCTGTGCACGCGGGACGAGTTTATGAAGAGTGTTCTGGTTTCTGTTTGTCGGACGTTTGTAGTCCGAGTAGTATCGACCAATCAGCAGGCTTTGGTGTACGCAGGAAAAACAGTAGTATGCCGAGCAAAAACAGGTAGAACACAATCCACCTCGAGGACATCTCTGCTCCCATCAGCTGTAATCTGAAGATGATTTACTGATCTCTATAAACCTGCGATACTCAACCTGCAGCTCCCGGGCAGCACACGGCTCATTTGTGACTCCCTACAGTCCTAATGTCGATAATCACATCATCGACATCATCAATATTGCCATCAGAGAGATTAGAGGTTGAATACAGACGAGTGTTCAGAGATATCTTTTAGCTGCGTCGCTGTCTGTTCCTCTTAGTCTCACCTTATCCACGTAATTGGCAACTTCCATGATCCTGGTCTTGGTCTTCTCGTAGTCCTTGTTCTGACGTCTGAACTGCAGCACAAAGAGAAAGGGAGGGGAGGTCAAAGGTCAGACAAATGATCAAATGTTTGAGACAACCCTCCCTAAGAGTTCCCAGCAGAGACTAATAACAACCTCTGAAAATGACGCCATAACCCAACCCGGGGTCCGTCGTTATAATTACAGCACTTAGAGGGGTAGACGAGCGCACACTTCCTGCTCGCCGTGTCCTGTTGCCATGGAAGTAACTCAGCATACAGAGAGGTTTTATTAAGATATAACATCATCTCTGCAGCGTTTATCTAAAAGCCGCCCCCCCCCCTCGTTAAGTGGACAGATCCTCCGCCTCGTCTGCACATGCTCAGTACGGCTCTCAGAATGAATGAGATCCATTTCCTGCATGAGATAATTGTTTTAAATGTGGACGTGTTCTGTCATTGTGTGTGTAACGTCAGAGTCTCTCATGCTTGATGCACACAGGAATAGATCAGATCTTTGAAAGGATGTGGTGTGTGTCGTCTTACCAGTGTGTTGTCGGCCACTATGTACAGCTCCATGTATTTGGTCGTACCCAAGGTGTTCCTTTTTACCTGACAGGAAACACAAAGACAGAGAGAAGCAGGGTCATGCACGGGACGGGTCTTTATCAGAACGCGTTATACAACGCAGAAGGTTCACTAAAGACCCGTTTCCACCAAGCGGTTTGATTCAGTTTGGTACAAATTTATTGGTGTTTCCACCGTGAATGGAATGATTCTAAACATTGTAGAGAGCTGTCTCCCCCCGCCCCCTCCTCTCTAGAGTCCATGCTCACACAGGTCACCATGTGGTGAACTCTGAAGCTTCAGTGTTTATCCAGCTCTGCATCAGTCTGTAAACCTTTCTGTGTTCTAACCTCTCTCCATTTTTCAAAGCATCTCCAATATTGATCCTAGTTTGAGCACGTTTCTGCTCGTGGAGCTTATTAGAAACATGCAGAGGCTTTTTAGGTCGGGTACAATCACTTCTATCTGAACCACTTCTCTTGCCCGCTTCCATCACTGCAACACCTGTTGACCTGATAACTGCTCTCATATCTGACAAACAGAGGGGCGTCCAAAACGGCCGTGTGAGGGTGTCTTAAAACAGCCGACCTTCTCTGGTCCAAACAAATCCAGATCATTCAGGAGCAGAATCTAAAGTTAGAAGGAGGACATACTGGCTGCTGCATTGTTGTCAGAGAAGCCAGCACTTCAACATAACATGTTTCCTTAATGTCTGATCATTTAGTAAGATACCTTTATCATTTCACTCACTACACATCTCACTGATTGGACAGGAGAAACAATAACAACAGATACAATAAACATCATAAATGACAGCATGATTCAGTCTGAGGTAGGTACCGTTTCTTAATGTGCTTCAAACGTTTCTAGTTTATTACAGATCTTGAGCCAGGTCAGATTTTGGATGCAGTTGACTCATCGGGATGATTCACACAATTTTAGGAGGGAAAAAACAAAACCTGGAGAAGGCAGACATGAATGAGCATCCTCCCTCCTCTGCATGCTGTTGTGTTTACAAAGCTTTAGCACTTCTTCTCCCCCTCCATCATTAAGTTTCCCTCCTGCTAATACTTGATTACAGCCATTAAGGAACCGCTTGGCTGTAATTAAAACTCATTGATTTACTCGCTGGGAGGAGGATGCTGCTGCTGCTGCGGATCGGTCTGGACTTTAAACTCTGATACGGAGGGGAACGTGTGACACACTCGTTCACACTCACACGTTAACACACTGCATCGTCTATCCAGAGTGTGTGAAAATCCTGAGGAGTCAGCCTGGAGTCTTCTGCTGTCTCTGCAGAATGACCCCGGATTAATGGTGACAGTGGGAGACGGAGGAGACCGGTGCACAAAGGAGGAACAAAGAGGAGGAAAAGACGAGGATGATGATGGTTGAGAGGAAATGAGTGTGTGTGTTTGTGTGTTTGTATGTGTGTGTGTGTGTGTGTGTGTATGTGTGTGTGTATGTGTCTGTGAGAGGAAATAAGGAGGAGCGAGAGACGAGTTTAAATCTAAGGAATGAGAGAATGAGTGGAAGAAGAATAATAATGAGTGTTTGTGTCAGTGATTGAGTCCATTAGAGCTACGTCTGTGTTTCCTTCCTCGTCTGTATGACGGAGCAGGAACCTGACTCACAGCCATGTCATAAACAGACGTGAACAGCTGAGTAAAAGCTATTATTCTTTGTGTTTACGGGCAGTGCAGTGGTAAATCACAGACCTTTTCGATTTTGTGTTTCCATATGAGAACAAACATTTGCCCTGCAGAGTCAAACATGATTTTCATTTAATACTGAGAAAAGGTGCCCGCCTCGACAACACCTTTAAAGGGACAAGAACACCTTTTCATTGCAGGTAAAACCATGCGTTTAAATCAAAAGATGCAAACGTATTCAGCAACCTGTAAAGAAGCTTTCTGCTGCAAAAAAACGACTTGTTGCTGCCACTGTCATGGCCATGATCGATGACGCTGATGTTTTAAACATGCATGCATTTATCACGGTGCATTCAGGCTCATAACAAATCGCAGCACCCTGACTCATCATCGTTCTCTGTGTGATCCAGTCGGCTGGCCTGCGTCGTCTCTGAGTAGACTAAAACACTGCCACGTCCTTCTTTATAAAGACTTTACTGAACCTGCTTCCCTCATACTTTTCAAAGTGCGTCTGAAAACAGGAAAAGGAGTTTCAGGTCCGCTGCTCATGCAGGAGGAGGCTGGTCTCTTGAAATCTTTTTAATAGTAGACAGAAGGTGTTGGAGGACGATGCTTTGAATAGAGACTGTTCTGCTCTGAGACTCAGGCTGATACATGCTGATCTGTGTTTTACGTCTGTAACTTGTTTATTGTGCTGAAGTCTGTGATTCTTTTGCACCTGAACTAAAAAAAAAAGGTTTGAGGCTTTCTACAAAGTGTGGAGGGTCATTTTATTTTTTTATCTCTGATGTTTTTTAAAACACATTACATCAGGAGGGATTCACTGATTCATCTTTAGACTCTCACAGATGGAATTGTTATCGATTTTCTTTCTGTTTTTGTTTTAGAGAATATTGACTCTTTTTTTTAAAGTCAGAGCTGTAGACAAACATCCAGTCACACTTATAATTCGTTTATCAGATGTGTGTGTGTGTGTGTGTGTGTGTGTGTGTGTGTGTGTGAGTCTTACCCGTGAGTGAAACGGTCGGAGCAGCTCCGAGATGTGGTTGGACGGCGTGCTGTGGTGTCCGTGTCCACAGTGTCCTGCTTGAATCTGCAGCTCGTCCGCTCTCAGCAGCGAGTGGAGGAGACGATCCTCGCCGCTGAGTGGCTCCAGGTAGAAGGTGTCGCTAGAATTCAAGGATATCAGGCCCCTGTGTGAACCAAGAGAAAACCTCGTTCAAGAACAGCATATTTTGAAGCTTAGGTCATTGTGGAGGCGGGGCACAAAGCATCCTGGGATACCGGAGCTAGCAGCACCACGTTTTCTCATCTTTTCTACCTCGTTACTGTATGTCAAAATCATCCACACAAAGAAAACGGTGATATACAGTTTTGGAAAGTACACATTTTGCAGTGTTGGTTTGTTTGAATAGAATTTGTGTTAAACCGCTGATGAAGCAGCAGGAGCAACTTGGGGTTAAGTGTCTTGCCCAAAGACACATCGGACATGTTGCTGCAGGAGCTGGGGATTGAACCCCTGAATTTCTTGTTAAGAGACGACATGTCTGAGTTTTTATAGTTTCTCCTCCTCCTCCTGTTAGTTTGGTTCTCTCTCTCTCTCTCTCTCTCTCTCTCTCTCTTCCTTCAGGCCTTTTTAAATTGGACGAAATATGTTTTCTTCTTCTTCTTCTACAACGGAGTGAAAAACTCATTCAGGGAGCAGCGGAGAGTTTTCAACACACCGTAACACCGTGTGACTCACAGAGAAGAAGATTACACTCCATCATTCTTACGCCGGACTCTCTGAAGGACTGAGGACCGGACATTGTGTTCCTTTGTGTTCCGCACAGCCTCGTTGTAAACACAGTTGGAACACTTCTGTCAGACTCAGAGTCTCACACAAGTCATTTGCTGTCATTTCGTCGTCATTGTCCTCGACTGTAACCACCCGGGCTGTCAGTT